GGTGATCACACTTGTCAGCTCATGAGGTACAACAAAAGGACACATGAAGTTTGAAAGATCTCTATTAAAAAGTGATTTGAGACTTGCAAGAATCGGCAACATTATAAATATATGGTTAGATGATGGTGTGCAAAAAAGTTCAAATATTTACCATTCAGGTTGGTTTGACTCTTAGTTGTAATAACCTGCAGATAACATATACAAACATGAAGGCAATATTGCAGCTCAAAGTGACATATACACATATATCTACCAAGACAAAATACCTGGTCATCATATATCTGATCCTAATTTCCTATTGAAGGAAGTATTAGAGGAGAAATAGCAACGTAACATGCTGGCCAGTTGGCATATAGGAGTAAGTTTTCTCAGAATAAACACTGATAAAAGCATATGGGTAGACATGAGGTAGGCAAAGGACGATAGATCATGCCATGATAACACGGTAGACAAATACGCGGCCAGGTAAATGGATCAGATGTAATGAAAGAAATCACCCAAAATATTGTTCCTAAGCTTGAATGATTGATCAGTAATATTCACTACACCATAAAATTATTAACTTGTGATTCCTTTTTTCCAAAAGCTCAGGTTTATAACAAAACAAAACAAAACAAAAACCTTAATATGTGGGCGGGATGGATGAACAGATGTTAGACAATGAAAATCAATATACAGAATGGGTTATCAACATACCTCTAAAATGAAAGATAATAAACAGAGAGAGTTGTCGACCTGCAACCAAACAAAGAGGTGAAGGTGCCCCAGACATGGGGAGTCCAGACATCCTCCGCCGCTGCGCCTTCCAACTGAATTTGAATTACCAAACACACTGAAGAATATCAACAGTCGTATACATACGTAAGCGCGGAAGTGCTTGCCTCATAAGCTGATGTACCACTCCCAAAGGTGAAGTCTTTGGGGGAACAGGAGAAGTTTTCTTTGCGCCGCGAACCGGAGCAGCGTCACCCAAGGGCCTCATATGCTGGATGATCTTGGATTCTGGTGCGGAATGGATCAACGGCCTGATTGGCGTCCTAATGGAGAGAGAGCAGTCGGACGCGAGATGGCAGAGGAGGTCCTCGGCAGAGGAGGTCCTCGGCAGAGGAACAACACTGCGTCTTGAACGGAACCACAGCCCGGCCTGCGTCCCAACCAAAGTGAGGCCTCGGAGGCAGGCAGACCGACGGCTGGTGGTCGTGCGGGAGGATCGCCCTCCCTAGGCCATAGCCATGGCGGACCTACCTTGGCTGGAACAGAGCAGATACACGAGGGAAGAATCGGGGCATCGCGGCCACCCGTCGCTGTCTCAATGACGCAGGGCACCACACGTCCACACCGGTGACGGAAACGTAGCCTGAGAGAAGCCGCGGAGGCAAGCTGGACCGGCGGTCGTGCCGAAGAAGCGCCTTGACGTATAGATCGGTTCCAGCCGCTGTACTATTGTAGCGCCAGGGGAAAAGATGGGAGGTGCTCGATCGTTTCCTTATTTTCTGCAGTATAAACGGAATGTCTTCCGTCGTGCATAGTAAAGTGTCTGGCCGGTTGTGTACGCTAGCAATGGAATCCACTATCGTTGCAGTTGCATGGACATTAAAAAGGTTGCTGCTGTGGCAGGGAGTGCCCAGGTGGAGGGCTGCATGTTAACATACAACAAAGTACAGTGGGATCTTTTATGTATAGGATTTTTTTTTAAATAATTGATGATGTGGCCTGTGTGATGAGGTGGATAGGGTGCATGTCAAGAGAAATAGGTTAGTGGGGATGAACTATTTAGATATTATGGATTAGCAGAGACATGTACGCACCATTGCTCCAGAGGCAGCACGAACGATCTAGAAAACCCAAAATACTACGCCAGCCACGCTCGAGTTGTACCCGGCCAGGTTCCCTTCACCATCAGGAAATCCCACTGGAAGCCTAACAATATTCTAAGAAAAGGAGAAAACAGCCACGGGCTCGAGTTCCTCCCGGGGAATCAGTGCATTCCGTTCCACTTTGCAACCAAACACACGACTTGTAGGCGCGGAACCAACCCATTACATTCAACTCTGTTCCTCCAACCAAACACACCCTTTGTTTGTTCGTGGGCTTATGTTTCTTTGCATCGGTGGCTTGGATGCAGTGCGAGGTTCGTGAGGCCTGCATGTAGCGGTACTGGTGTTGGTTGTGGACGGGTTAAGTGCTGCGCTGGTGTTACATGTAGCACGGTGTTGCTGTTTGTTGTGGTTTGTCACTGCGCTATGTCGGTTCCATATATTTTTCTATAAGTTAGGCGATGCTGTTAGGTCACTGAACTGTCTGAATCAAAATTTAAAAGCAGCATGTACGGCATAAGCAGTTCACTTATGCACTGTGAAACAACACGTGCAAGCATTTAGTTTGTGTTTTTCATGGCCGCATTTAGTGCTACAGAGCTACATTCATTTTGTTCATGGATTGAATCTAATAACATTCCCAGACCCTGCGCAAGCGGGAGCTACATGCACTGGGGCTGCCCTTTTTTATTGAATCTAATAACATTATGGATACTGCTATGGATACCTAGGCTATCTACCTGCAAATTCGTTTAGAGGGCTAAGAAATGGTAACCTTGAACTCAAATGATGTAGACCAATCTGAGCATATAACTAAATTTACTAGAACAACATGTGACGTAATAGCATAAGGAGTGGCTAACAATTATGAAATCCATATCGTTGTGCATGTAGAAGCTACTCATATTCACATTGCTGTTTTGATATGATCTACCTGCATGTCTTGCCTTAGGCCTTTCCAACCTTATTTCTGTAATTTATGGTTCTTTATCAGGAAGTTGTTTATAAAGTTATAAACACAAGGCATGCAAAGATCAGTAATCTGAAATAGAGCTATGTAGACCAAGCTGAGCTTATAACTTATTTTATCAAGACACCACATGACGTAATATCAAAAGCAGTGGCTAACTACTGTGAAGTTCATATCGTTAAGAAACACCGCTCAGTATTGGAGCTCTAAATATGACAATAAAGGATGAACCACTTTTCTCTTTATTCTCCTTGAACTTCTAAGAGCAACTCTATCAGACAATGTGAAAACATATAGCCTCTATATGTGTTTTAGAGGGCCCTAGAGGCTTTGGAATGCACTCCCAGATCGGACTCCCTACACTACAGCCTCTACATTTCTTGTTCCACGTGGGACCCACTCGTCAGTTGCTTACCATTTTCTTCCTTTCCTGCTCTCCCTGGGTGCATAGCTGCGGGGATTTGTGTGTGTGTGTGTGTGTGTGGGGGGGGGGGTGGTGGTGCTATTTTTCTTGCGATGCCAACCACACGCAAGCTGAGGCGGTGGGATCTTGGGGCCCCTGCTATGCTTTGGATCGGCGGAGTAAGAGAAGAAGAATAAATGCGTGGAGGAGAATCGGGAAACAGTTTTCTCCTTCCCATTCCGGTATGATGCCAAGTATGATTTCAATGGCCGAAGACGACGCGAGAGCGGTATGAGCTGGCTGCTGAGAGCTTGACATGTTGGAAGTAGCCGGCCACCATCGTTTGCTGACAATTGGAAACACCCTCCGCAAACCACCAGGAGCAGCCATAGCTCCCTATCTGTAGGGAACTTAGATGTTCTACGGATGTATCATGACTTTTTTAATCGTGAAACTTTCTGTTACCGAAAAAGGCTTTCGCCCCGCTTTATATATAAAGCAACATCCAACATACAACCCAGCCAGACAACTCGATACCACAACACACGCACACGAGGCAAGATACAAAGGGTGCTGCAAACACGACGAGCAATGAGCTCCAAAGCGGTGCCTTTAGGAAGGGCATGACACCAGAGCGGTCCCACCTTTTGCCCCAAAACGAGCCCCGATGCAGTAGCAAGGCCCAGCCGGCCAGATCTGGACAAGAGAAATTCCCTGGTGGCCGCGATCCTCTCCGCAGCCCATCCATCGCACCCGATATGACCCCCCAGATCTCGGCGACGCCAGGGACGGGGGGCACCCTTGCCTCCATCCCCGAGACGCTCCTGCCACGATCGGCCAGCCAGAGATGGCCGAGCATTGGACCATCGCACTGGCCATTGAGATCTGCCACCAGCCGTGGGACAGCAGAAGCAAAGAAGGGCGAGACAACCACCAGCGCCGCGCCGCCACCTCCGCCAGCCGAGCGCCACGGCAGAGGCGGCCGCCTGCTGACCGCGCCGCCCACAGCCCTAGCCGCCCGAGTCAGCTGACCTTCGTCGCATCCCCAGACGCACACTGCCGCCGTGCTGCCAGTCGCGACGCCGCAACACCAGCATGGGGTCACCGCGCCCGTGCGACGCCTCGATGTGGCGCCCAGCACCCGCGCCACGCCCTAGCCAGAGCCGCTGGCCTTCGCTGACCCTATTAGCACATTAGTGGTACCAACATAGTTCAAAGTTATATAATTGTTGTTCTATACAATCTGACAGGCAATGCCATACTTTGACTTTAGATTCCATCCATGCACTAGTTTGATTGTTAACATTGTACAAATGATGCATATATGGACTTAAATGTGACTACTAGCCATTGTTAGACCCTCCAAATCTCAAATCTGTAGTGATCTTATCATTCAATTTTTTAGATCTTAGTACAAATTATCTGACAAATAGAATAGAACCTACACATGATAACCAGTATTACACTCAAGTGATTGCTACTGAGAAAAAGGTGTTTGTTGATCTATCCAATCTGCATTGTCTGTTATTAATTATTTACTTCACAAAGTAGCATCATCATCATGCAATCCCATGAGTGTGTATTTCGTTGGATATAAATATGGTCTTATAACTTCTGTTATTCTTTGACAAATTCCAGGACCTGACACACCAGACGATCTTGTTCGTATCTGACAGCTGGTCCCAAATTTGAGATTGTTTGAGCAGGGAGACTCAAATCAAATTTGGGTCTTACATAGCCTTCTTCAGCTCATAGCATTTTATGTGAAGGCGTGTGGTTGGTTTTCAGAACCAATATCAGGAGCAGTATTATGGAATCCAACAGAGAAGAGGCCGTCAAGGCTAGGGAAATTGCTTTAAAAAAGTTAGAAAGCAAAGACTTTGTTGGTGCTAAAAGGATTGCACTGAAAGCACAAAGGATTTTTCCAGAACTTGAAAACTTATCTCAGCTGTTGACTGTCTGCGAAGTGCATTGTGCAGCAGAGGCAAAGATCAATGAGTTGTTGGACTTCTACGGGATTCTCCAAGTGGATGTAACGGCTGATGAGGCAACCATAAAGAAGCAGTACCGGAAGCTTGCCTTTTCACTCCACCCTGATAAAAATAGTTACCCTGGTGCAGAAGCTGCTTTTAAATTGGTAGCAGAAGCTCACTCAACATTGTCTGATCGAACAAAAAAACCTGCATATGACATCAAGTGGAGGGTTGCTTCTAGAATTGCACCAAAGCAGGGTTCAGAACTAAAGCAGGCCACAGGACCAAAGCAAGGTGCCCAGCCAAAGCAGGCTACCCAATCAAAGAAGGCAGCAATACCCAAGCAGGCAACAGTACCGAAGCAGGCGGCAGTACCAAAGCAGGCACCCATACCAAAGCAGGCGACAGTACCAAAGCAGGCACCCATACCAAAGCAGGCGGCAGTACCAAAGCAGACAGCTACAGAACAGATGAAGAAACCTGGTGCAAATAGAAGTAGTGTAGCAGGAGGTGAACCACCAGTTCCATCAACCACTGTTGGACAGGCAATATGGACCATATGCATTCACTGTAGAACAAGATATCAGTACTACAGTGGCGTACTAAATCATCGCATCCGCTGTCAGAACTGCAGTAAATATTTTGTTGCTTCTAAGCTGAATGCACATGATGTGCCTTCTGTATTCACATCAAATTCCATCAAAGGTGTTGGACAACAGAGTGGTTTTCCCAGTCAACCAGACTGTTCTACAAAGTTCTCTCCTTCTAGGTTGAATGGTGATGCTAAGCCCTTGAATGGAGCACAAACTGCTGAACATATGAAGAGTGCCAGAGCGGGTGGTGAGGAGAAGTTTAACCATGCAGGGGCAGGTGGGAAAAGCGGGGTTGAATTTTCAACAGGGAATATGTCTAAATCTTCTGCACCAAGTGCAAGTGACAAGGCAGGTGGAAGAATGGCATCTGACCCTGCTGGTCCAGATGTTGCTTATAGTAAAAACCCATGCAGTAGGGTAGTAGATACACCAGCAGAGCCAGGTGCTACTGGCAGCCCTAGTCCCCGGAGATCCGCTAGGAGAAAGGCAAACCATGATGCCAGTACCCCGGTTCCCCCTAGCAAAAAGAGGCGAACACTAAAAGATTGGTTTTCAAATGCTGACACTAGTTGTAAGAAAATGTTTGATGACAATGTTGCTCGTGCTGATGGAAAAACTGGTGAAGCTCATGTCCCTAGCAAAGCACACAATGAAGAGAGAGGAAGCACTGCCAAAGAAGGGAACCAGGAAAGTGTTAAGAAAGAATTTACATGTGATGCATCTGCTGCGAAGGATCCTTGCGATTCTGCACAATTAACCTACCCTGACCCAGAATTTTTTGACTTTGATAAAGGCAGGGATGTGAATTTGTTTGCAGTTGATCAGATTTGGGCAGTTTATGATGACCGCGATGGCATGCCACGATATTATGCTCGAATAAAGCATGTAGATGCTACCAAATCCACTATTCGGTACACTTGGCTGGAGCATAAGGCAGTTAATGATGAAGAAGACAGATGGACGGATAAAGAACTGCCTGTTGCTTGTGGGAAGTTTAATTTAGGAAAAACGGAGGTATCACAAGGTGCCCTCATGTTTTCTCATACTGTTGTTCCATGGGTGATGGGCAAAAGAGGGTGTGCCTACGAAATATATCCCAGGAAGGGTGAGGTATGGGCTCTTTATAAGGGTTGGAGTATGCAGTGGTGTTCAGATGCAGATAACCATAAAACATACGAGTACGACGTTGTGGAGGTTCTGTCAGACTTCACAATGGAAGGTGGAGCTGCTGTTTTTCCCTTGGTCAAGATTAAGGGGTTTGTCAGTCTATTTGGAAAAGCAATTGACAGATCATCTTTTGTTATACCATCTAGTGAACTGCTTCGATTTTCGCACAATATCCCATTTTATAGGACAAAAGGAAATGAAAAGGCTGGTGTGTCAGGTGGGTTTCTTGAACTAGATACCGTATCACTTCCTAGTAACCTGGACGCATCGTTTCCATCAGTTACTATCGACAAGACAATTAGCAGTGGTTTCATTGATGCCAGTGATATTAGTACACCAGGTCCTGGAAATGAACCAAGTGCTCAAAAGGAAAATCAGCAAAGTGGAGGAAAACGGATAGATGATTCCCTTGAACAAACCCCAAGACAGAAACAGAAAGGCGGCACTGCGAGTGTGCCTGGTTCTTCTTCTCAGCTATTCCGCTCCTCTCCAAGTACTATTGCAACATATCCAGATTCAGAGTTTTATAACTTTGAAGAAGGGCGATCATATAACAAGTTTGAACGTGGCCAGATATGGGCTCTTTACAGCGATCTTGACAAATTTCCCAAGTATTACGGCTGGGTGACCAAAGTTGATATGGAACCGTTCAGATTGCATTTAACTTGGCTCGAAGCGTGTCCTCAACTGGAGCAAGAGAAGATGTGGTTGAAGCGTGATATACCTGTGAGCTGTGGGACATTTAAGCTCCGCAACTGGAGGATCAAGTATGATTCAAATGACGCATTCTCTCATTTAGTAGAAACTAGCCAAGTTAATGGGCAACGTTTTGAAATTCACCCGCGAGTAGGTGAAATTTGGGCCATTTACAACAACGACTGGGCACCTGACTGGGTTCCTTCCAGTGATGATGCGTGTGAATATGCCGTCGGTGAGATTACTGAGCGCACTGAAGCTAGCACGAAGTTCTCGTTTCTGACTCCAGTAGACGGTTACACAGCTGTGTTCAGGTTTGACAATGAAAGGGGTATTCTGGAGATTCCTGCAAATGAGAACTTGAGGTTTTCTCACCATATACCTTCTTACCGTCTGACGGAAGAAAAAAGTGGCACGCTCCGTGGCTTCTATGAGCTAGATCCAGCTTCTGTTCCTGATGCTTTCCTGGTCCGAGGGGGCACCTGCTGACCGACTGACTTGGAAGCTAACATTAAATTACTTCCAATCAAGTCAAGTAGTCATCTGGTTGCTACTGTGATCTGGTTATGAATCTCACTTTGAAAGTGTTATCTGCAGGGGAGAGCAAACGATCAGTTAGGCTCTCTGTATTTCTAGATGTTTTACCGTACTTCTAGTGCTTGGGCGTATTTTGGCCATTTCTGTTGTGGACCTTATGTAAGCTAGGTGTGGACCTTCTGAAAGCTAGGTGTGGACCTTATGAAAGACTGGGAAAAAAGGGAACTTGATGGTTGTTAGTTTGGATCAGGATTCTGCTTACCGTTGTGTTGTGTGCTATCTGCGCGCATGCATTATTCTGGTTTGTGTTCAGGTTTTCGGCATTGCTGAACTATTTGGAGATGCATTTATGCCATTTCCTAGGTAAGGAGCAGTTTAATAAATAGATAAATTGCTTAACGTTTGCTACCACTACTAAGAGATCGGAGAGTAGAAGCTAAGATCGAATTTCCCAGCACAACCACAAAGCATTAATCTAAGTATGTTGTTGGATTTTTTTTTTCTTTTATACTCTCACATATAAGTGGTGTTAGTTTAGGGCTTCTTTGGATCACAGGGTTTTAAAGGATCGTGAAAACTGAAATTGCTCTTGTAGGAACTGAAAGCACATGATTCCATAATAGCAGTGTTTGGGTGCGCCAAAAGAATACCATTGTTTTTCGGAATTGCTTTTCATATGATGAAATTAAGTATACGATCTGATCTCGGCCCTACAACAATCACAATTCATATTGATGAAGCACATGGCATGGAATTCATAGTAGACTTGCAAAATTCTTGACGCGCACATATCGTATGTACCAGAACTCCTGTTTCCCCCCTACGGAATTAGACACATGGCACGCGTCCGCCTTCGTCCGAGTAGAGCTTATTACAACTACCATGATAATAATTACAACGACATCATTAATGGTGCAGACGCGGCCGCCTGCATGCCTAATGCAAATCAGACCGTAAGAAACTGAAGGGAAAACTCATGTCAATGCCGTCACTTCACTCCTCGATTATGATTGTGCCATTACTTTTGGCTATTCGTGCAAAATGCCACTATTGTGGAAGTCTACCTTTATCATTTCTGATTAGCGGCTATTTGGGGCAAATAATCTCAGCACATGCGTTCTCATTCCTTCCCGTGATCTAACATTGCCTTTAAGACCTTTGACCCCTTCCAGTTCAGTCAAAGAACAATTCCCACGAGCTGACACAAAAAATGGCAAAAATTGAAGAATAAACTAAGAAGCTTGTGGCATTTTGTATAAATGGCTTAACGTAATGGCATAGTCACAATTTCAGAGGGAAGCGACAATATTGACATGATTTTTCTTAAAGAAAATTCTTGAGAACGAGGGGACATGCAGACATACGAGTTTCCTCCCGAGCTAGGTCTTGGGCACCGCCCCTATTTGTACCAATGTGTGGCTAATACAGCAGCTATCTTTTAGAAATCCTTTACACGTCGAAGAACCATAGATACGAAGTGAGCAGATTGCCGTATGACCAAGAGATCCCTAATGTTATGCTCCCAACCTCATCTCCCTCGAGTTCTCACTCATGTGGTCAGAGCAGGAGACCCTGGGATCCCGAAGGGCTCGTTAAAGAGGAAAGGGTTGGGAGCGTCCATATGGTGTTCCCAACGAGTAGATATCACCGAACCCCTCCCCCCTTTCTACCCCCACACACCTTAAAAAGGCACGCATAACTATGCACTGCTCTCCCTCTTTGGCATCAAAGACGCCAAAAAGTTAGAGAAGGCAACTAACCCAGCCCACAAACTACTCACTAGGAGAATTATTCGAAGAACTATCTTCATCATCTCCATCCTTCCTTTCGCTTGATTTGGACCTAGCGATAGATTTCGAGTCATTCTCTTCTTGTTCTTTCTCTTGGGCATGTGCGAAACAATCCGAATTTTTTCTTGTGTCTGCACATCTTCTCGCAAAATTGGTTCTACTTGCTTAAGCAACAACTTGCTTATCTTGAACAACTTCTTGCACACATTCATTTTCTCGTTCACCTTGATGAGTAACACTAGTAGGAGCTAATGGGTGAATGACCTCTTTACCGCTTTGAGCCTATTGCAAGGATTTTTCAACAACAAATTTTCCAACTTGAGTGACAATAAGCATTATTGTGGTGTATCTGTGTCACAGACCGGATTTCACTTTTGGATTTCTTTGGACACTTTTGGATTTCTTTGGACATAAATTCTAAATTCTGAATATTTCTTCTTTGGATTCAACTCCTACAATTATTGCAACCCTTTCTCTCTCTCAAATGTTTTGAAGTCAAACTAGACATATCATCGCCTGCCCAAGACATTTCACATATTTTATTTCGAAGCCCCTCATCTTTGAAAATATATTTATTTTCCTATTAAAAGAAATTCTCTATTTAAACCCCTTTATGAAGGAACCACTATTTTTGTTTCTTAAAAAAACCAAGAATATTCTTGTGGCATCGCATGATTAGGTGTATATCAAACGTGGAAAAATATTGAGGTTCCATAGTTCAATATTTTATCTTGAAAACTAATCAAACTTTCTGCCCTAAAGCTTCAAAAAATGGAATGCTATTTTTAGGCTTGCCCTTTTTACTTGAAAGATTGTGGAGGCCTTCTATGCATAATAGGGCATCCACACAAGAGGGCATATCCATAAGGCAATCCATTTACCCTCTTTTCATTCCAATGTCCTTTATGTGCTCTCATGGACGTGGACCATGTAAACACAATAAAGTCTTTCCTTTCCCCTCCCCGCCTCTTTCGTTGAGCCTAGAATCCATCGAGACACAAACATGCGAAAACTCAGCCCCAGGACTAGCCTAGAGCGGTCACCCCTATCGCTAAGAAGACATAACTACAATCATGGTGCTCACAATAGTGCCCATGCCATGCACTTTTCGCCCGCCGCTTGCAACGTCGTCACCACAATAGAGCATGTCGTGCACCCGCGCAACACTCCCCCTCCCGACAAGCGTCATTCGTGTTGTCACCACCGTTGTGGATAGCTGCACGGTAATGCCGAGATGGTCATCCCCTAGGACCAAATCATCAAGTGAAGCCTACCATTGAAAGCACAGGTTTACTCCCGGAGGGGGGTGAGTGGAAGATTTTAAGAAATTCGTCAAACTTTGATGAATTTGACGAAGATCAGAGTGAAGAAATAGAAACACAAGGCAACTAATTCATCACAGTAGCAGAAAACATGCATACAAGATACATATAGGTGAAGAACATGCATTCATACAAGCTTACATGAATGAGGAAGATGAATTGAAGAAATGAAAGCACCATGATGAAATTCTTCAGAGGATAGATGACAAATTCTCTAGCAGTGAAATAACGTAAAGGTAAGGGTGAGGAATTTGAAACCAGGTGGCTCGGTGAAGACACCACGATTTGGTAGACCAGTTTCAGTTGCTGTATCAACTATACGTCTGGTTGAGGCGGCTGAGATGAACTCAGAGGGCACTTAGTCCTCACTGTATTCCTCTTGAGCCAAGGTCACTTAGACCTCATCCAATCAGTCGTGGTAAGTCTTCAAGGTAGACTTCCAAAACCTTCACAGACTTGTTCACCGACACACTACAATGACTCTTGGGTGCTCAGAACATGACGCCTAACCATCTGGAAGAATGACCGTCTTCAAAGGTAACAGCCGTCGGATCACACGGATCAATCTCTTCAGTGATCTCAATCACTTTGGTTGTGGTTGGGTTTTTCCTCACTTAGGATTCCTTCGAAGTCGTCAGAGGATGGGTTGCTCTCAAATGACAAGTGTCAAGTTCTCTCTGAAGCAGCCAACCAACAAGTGGTTGTGCGGGGTGACTTTTTATAGCCAGGTGGCAACCCGGCATGAATTGTCATAAATTCCCTTCTCAAACATGACTATTGTCAGGATAAGGATCCACTCGACAGCTGGCATGTAGCGCAACAACGGTCGGAAATTTAACTCTCAATTTCTTCGGGGCACCCAATTTCCTCATGATAGGCAGATCACACTAGCGAAAACCTAACTCCTCAGCCTAACCAAATTCGTTAGCGACCAGATGAACTTCATCACTACGGCTAGCAAATTCGTCAGCTGTTCCGGAGATTTCCAAAGGCTTCACTCGAAGCGGCTTGTGTATGTATAGGTTTGAGCATCACTTTGTAAATGTGAACTATGATTCAGCTAGACCCACTTTAACAGTATGGCTTTTCCTATGACTCAAAATAATAAGAAAGAAATTACGAAAACAAAAGTCTTCAAGCTTCAAGGTCTTCAAATCAATTACTTCAAAGGCCGTACCAATTTCATCACCAAATTCTTCACTTGAAGAAATATGTTTTTAGGGGTCGTCTTCCATGGGTTAAACCAAATCTTCAGGGACTATAACTCCTGTGTACACTCACAAACACATTAGTCCCTCGACCCATTTGTGTTCAATACTCCAAAACCACTAAGGGGGCACTTGATGCACTTACAACCATACCTACCTAGCACATACCCCATTCTCCTTGCGCTCTCTCTCTCTCTCTCACACACACACACACACACACACACACACACACACACACACAACCTCCATCGCCATGAATGCCGCCCCTGAGCGCGATTTATCCCCACCTTGTCTCCGGCTATGTAAATGACACCCGTGCCCATTCGACACACCAACCCCACCTCCTCGAACAACATTATTGCTGCAAGCAATAGAGAGGTCCGTGGTTCGACCCCACTAAGCTAGAGGACCTCAAGGTCGCCTAACGATGTACTATATCGGGGATGGACCATCATCCGTGAGACCCGCTAACGGGCCATCCTTAGGGCCTAGGAAGCCAAGTCATGGAGAGGACCCTTTGTACAATTGGAGGCATGACTTTGGGAAGATTCTTCATCTTTGCGTGCAAGCCAAGTCCCCTCAGCCAATCGGAGCTCAAGGTCAGTTAGGAAACTTGTAAACCCTAGGCCTCG